CACAGCCCTCCAGCGCGGCTTCTCCCTGCCCCTGTCCGGGGTGATGATGTTTCTCTGCCGCTTGACCACCTGGGCACCTGTGAGCTCCCCGCAGCCTGTCCTGAGCTGAAATGTGGGCCGGTTATTCCAGGCCCCTCCCTAGTCTCCGGGAAGCTCTCCAGGCTGGTCGCTCTCAGCCCTCCAGCCCGGCTTCTCCCTGCCCCTGTCCGGGGTGATGATGTTTCTCTGCCGCTTGACCACCTGGGCACCTGTGAGCTCCCCGCAGCCTGTCCTGAGCTGAAATGTGGGCCGGTTATTCCAGGCCCCTTTCCCTAGTCTCTTCCTCCAATCTCCGCTGGGTTCCAGCTTCCCCGCTCCTGCCCCCTGTAGGGGGAAGGGCGCCTGTGACTCCAGTTTCTCCCATTTCTGCCTCCTGGATGGGCTTCTCGTGGCCCTGGAAGCAGAACGTGGCACTGCGTGCTGGGGTGGGACGCCAGCACCGGTGTGTCTCCTTGTGAGACCTGCAGTGGAAGTGTGAGGAGTGCGGGAGAGTGTCCGGGTGTGTATGTGAGACTGGGGCTGGGAGAGTGTCCATGCCCTTTCCGAGGACCCCTTTGGGGAGCTCCCTGAGGAACTCACAGCACCCTCTGTGGGTCCCAGGACCCGCAGTGGGCCCAGAAGAAATGCCTAGTGAGGCCCTGGTTCCCCAGCTGGGGGGACCATGTGGGATGCGTGAGGGACATCAGGTTTAGCGAGTGCTGGGATTATTCCATCCGGCTGCCTTGCCCCCACTGTCTCCTGCCTCCTCCCCACCCCCCTTCCCACTCCTCCCTGAGGCTCTCATTCCTTGGCCAGGGCTTCCTGGTTCTGGACCTCAGGAACCCTAGGAGACTCAGAAGGAAACCAGAGTGGATCCAAGCAGCCATACATAATCACCCCCAGTAAGAAGTGGGACCACAGAGGGGAGGGCACAGGTCTTTCCTCTGCCCCCACAGCATCCAACCGCCCTGGAAACGGCTCCAGCTCTGCCTGCTTCCTGACCCTCACTTCCATAGTTCCTGGTGAGAGAGGGGCTGGAGGAGGCAGGAAAGGGAACAGGAGACAATCATGCAGTCAGAATGTTAGGGCTGGAAAACCATACCCATCATTTGGTGCTGTAAACATTTTGTGGGGCCATGGCACCCCCCTCCCCGGAATCTAATAAAAGGTATAGAACTGTCCTCAGAAAAATGTGCACACACACGATTTCATACCATTCATGCAGCCCCTGAGTTCCACCTGAGCATCCCTGGGAGGCCCCTGGAGTTTTTACTGGTAAGGAAATCAAGGCCTAGAGAGGGAGGGTGGCTTGCCCAGAGTTCATGTTAATTTGTGGTAGGGCCTCAGAGTATGGAAATATCAGAGGCTCAGAGTGTTTGACTGTGGCCTGGGACACATGCATCCCCCTCCCCCCAATTACACACACACACACACACACACACTAGACAGGGGCAGGAAGGGGACGGTTTCCAGGGAGAGTGAGCCTCTGAGGGGATTGTGAGATGTGCAGGCAGGTCCAATCCAGTTCCAAGCAGCTGGTGCCTGGGGGCATGGAGATGAGATAAAGCCTCCCAGCTCACAGTGCGCTGAAGCTGGCTGGACACACTGAGGCTGGGCTGCAGTAGACTGCCCTGTGGTGGGGGAGGCCAGTCCTGGCCCCTCTGCTCCCCTGCTGCACACTGCCTCCCATAAGCCCAAGCCTTGAAGTCCCCCCAAATTTGACCTGTGGAGGCACCATGCTGCTCCCTGCCCTCCTCTTTGGGATGGCATGGGCACTTACTAACGGGTAAGCCGCCCACCCCAGGGAACCTCCCACTAAGGTCCTTTTCCTCCTGCCCCAAGACTGGGACCCTCTGGAGCAACCAGACCTCCTCCCAACCTCAGCCTCCTCCTCAGTTCACTAACTTCCCTGGGAGTTGGCTCTTTCAGGAATGGGCTTCTTGGTGACAAGGGACAGTGGCAGCTGCTCTCTTACTCCCCATCCTTGGGCAGGCGATGGTGTGAGCACATGGAGACCATTCTGGTGGAGGAGGAAGTGACCCCACGTCAGGAGGACCTGGTGCCTTGCACCAGCCTCTATCATCACCGGCGCCTGGGCTGGCGGCTGGACCTGTCCTGGAGTGGACGTGCAGGGCTCTGTCCCATCTACAAGTGAGTGAGGGTCGGAGTCTGGGCTGGCTGCCCAGCAGGACAGAGCAAAGGGGCCACATCCGGAAACTGGGGGAGGACTGGTGGTGATCTGGAGAAGCAGGCATTTGGGAAGTAGGTCTGGGTGGGCTCTCAAAGGGCAGAGCATGAGGGATGGGGGTAGTGGATGAGTGGACACCACTAAGAGCAGCCCATGGAGATGCTTGATGCCTCCTGCCTGTGTCTACCCTCCAGGCGGCCTTCCCAAGGTCCTCTCATGGGGAAATGAAGACCAAGAAGGGAAATCACATGATAAGTTCACTCAGAGAGTAGGCAACTAGATTGAATGACTATCTAGGCCATTCCCAGGGAGGGGGTGGGCTGGACACTAACATCTCCTCCCTTCTGCCTGCTCCATGGATCCAGGCCCCGGGAAACACGACCTGTTGCATGGAACAGGACAGTGAGGGCCTGCTGCCCAGGCTGGGGAGGCACCCACCGCACCCTGGGTAAGTGCCTGAGATTAGCCTGGATCTGTATTGTCATGGAGGTGGCAGGCTGCTTGGGGAGGGAAGCTGGGTCCAGACTGACTGGGTCCACCCCGTTCTCTCCCTGTATCCACCACAGCCCTTGCAGAAGCCAGCCCCAAGGGCTACTGCTTTGCCACAAGGCAGTGCCAGCCTTGGGCAGGCTCAGCTCATGCATCTGCAGGAAGCCTGGAGGAATGCTGTGCCCAGCCTTGGGGACCCAGCTGGTGGGATGAACGCTCCCAGGCCTGCCTCAGCTGCTCCAGCCAACGGCTTCCAGGTGGGTCCCAAGCCTGTCAGCAGCACAGTCCCAGCTGTCACCCGCTCCCTAGGCACTCCCACGTGGAGTTCTTGAGCTCTGGGCCTTTCCACAGGGCCCAAGTCCATTCCCCTGTCCTCTCAGACGAGTCACCTCACATCCCCTGCCCACCAGAGTGATCGTGACTGTCCACCTGCTTCCTCCACCCTCTGCCCCCACCTTTAGAGGCTCACGGTGGTGTCTCTCCCCCAGGCAGCACCCAGTCTCCAGCCCTGCTGAAGGCCCTGGCAGGGGCCGCGGCCCAACTCTGGAGCCGGAGCCAGCGTTCCTCGGCCACCTGTGCCACCTGGTCCGGCTTCCACTACCGCACCTTTGACAGGCGTCACTACCACTTCCTGGGCCACTGCACTTACCTGCTGGCAGGTGCTGCTACTCCACTTGGGCTGTCCACATCAGGCCCACGGGCCATTGTCCCCAGCCTGGGCACTGTCAGCAGGTGAGGGAGGGAGCTGGGGATGGAGATGGGGAGGGAGCTGGGGATGGAGATGGGGAGGGAGCTGGGTGTGGGAGGAGGAGAGACACTGACCATCTCACCTATGACCGGTCTCCTCCCAGGTCCTGGTGATGATGGGACCAGAGGAAGTGCTGATTCAGGGTGGAAATGTCTCTGTGAATGGGCAGCTGGTACCTGATGGGAGTCTCAGCTGCTCTCCAGTGAGGGACAGTCTGCCCACACCCAGCGTGGGGCTCAGAAGGGGCAGCTGGGGACTGAGCTTGCTGCTGCCTCCCCGACCCCCACCGCTGTTGGGAGGCATTTGGAAATGAGGGAGCCAGCCGAAGAGCCAGGTGTTATGGACCTAGTCCCCGCCCCGACACCTGCAACCAACCCCCACCAGCTCCCTCACAAGGTGACCTGGGCGAGTCCTTCTACTTAACCACTTAACCGCTCTGAGCCTCAGTTTCCCCCACCTGCCTCCCACAGTGTTGTGAGGAAGGCTTTGGTGCTAGGAGACGGGGCACACACACACACACACACACAACCTCACTCCCAGCTCACTCCATGGACCACAGACAGGACAAAAATTCTGGTAAGAAACCGTCCCATCTACTAGCACCAAAGCCAGCATTCATGAACTTCTCAAGGAGGGCTGTGATGGGAAACCAGTGGGGGTTTATTTAAAGAATATAAAGTGCAGAACTCTCCAGAATGGTGAGAATCCCTCATTTCCCCTTCCCTGGGCAGTCTGAGCCCTAGTGCGATGGTGGGAGGGGTGGACAGTGTGACCCCCACTTTCCCTGCCCTGGCCTGAGCTTGCAGTGCTGTCAGGGGACCTGGGGGTTGTTGTGCGGCTGGATAGGTCCAGTTCGATCTCCGTTTCTGTGGACCACGAGCTCCGGGACAGACTCAAGGCCTCTGTGGGCTCTACAATGGCCGGCGTGAAGGTAAGTGGGTGTGGTGTTGTGGCTGGTGTAGGAGGGAAGGGAAGACCTGAAGCCTCAGACAGCACCTCTGCTTTCTCCCTCCCCCAGATGACTTCTTGGAGCCAGGAGCGGGCTGGCTGCATTAGCTGCCACGTTTGGGAATTCCTGGAAGCTGCCTGACTCAGAGGTGACATGCAGCCCTCAGGGAGCCTGGGCTCCCTTGCTCCCCACCTGCCCACCCACGCCTAGCTTCTCTGACACCTTCAAGCCTCTGTTCTGTCTCCTGCAAGAGACAGTTCCTGGGCCTCGTCCAGACCCTCAGGGAAGAAAAGGCAGGCTCGGGGTCCCACAGGAGCTCAGTGTAAGGTGCTGTCCACAGCCCTGGCTCCTACACCCGGGGGACACACTCACTGACCTGGTTACCAACCAGTTTTGGTTAATCAGCTAGTCATCAAACCTCCTGCCTGTGGGTTGACAGTGATGCCAGCTCCCCTGCCTCGACCCCTGGCTTGCAACTTTGCTGCCCCTCCCCGTCATAACGGGGATGGTGTCTGGGTTGCGTGTCATGACAGTGGAGCTTTGAAGCAGCTGTGAAAGCAGTGGCTATTTTCCTGGTGTCCTTGTGAATGCCTCATCCCTGCGCCCTGTCCTGACTCCAGTTGTCCCCAGGCTGGGTGTCTGGATGTGGTGGAGGCAGCCCAGGGCTGCAGGAGCCTCTGAGGGGCACCGAGGTGGGCACGGAGGCTGGCCAGTTGCGGGCTGAAGCCCAAGATGTATGCCATTAGCTGCTGGATGGTCCATTCAGAGAATGCCATGTCCAGGTATAGGTGGGGGTGGAGATAGTGTCTGGCATCAGAGGGGCTGAAAAGAGGGGGTGCTGGGGAGGTGCCAAGTGGGGAATCTGGTCCTGCCTTTAGCTTGCTTTGGGCCATTGGTCAAGCCCTCCTACTCTCTGTCCTGGGTTTTACCTCTGGGGAATGAGATTGCTCCTATGTATGAGCTGTGAGGTCCTTTACAGCCCTCATCTGTTGGCTCTAAACCTGGGTGGGCGAGATAGCAGCAAGAGGAGGGGGTGGCCGGTTGGCTGAGGGGCTGTCCTTTCTCGGGAGGTTCCCACTGCTGAGTACCATGAGGCCTGGCTCTTTGCCTACTGTGCTGGGGCCCCAGCAGGCAGTGGCGGAGAGGGCCGCCGGGAGGCTGTGTGTGCCACCTTGGCCAACTATGCCCAGGACTGTGCCAAGCGTCACATCCGCGTGCCTGGAGGAAGCCCGGCTTCTGTGGTAGGGTTCCTGCCTGTGCCTCCAGGCCTCCCAGTCCTGCAGGATTGGGAACTGAGGGAGGGCCGTCGTGTGACCCCTACTTCTGAGTGCTCTGGCACCCGCTGGGCCCCCAGCGTGGTCTCCAGGCTCCTCAGCCCAGCGGTGTCTGGCGGGAGGAGGGGGCTCCTGGGCCTCACAGCCCACTCCTGTGCCTGCAGAGCGCCTGTGCCCCGAGACCAACTGTACTCCGACTGCGCCTGGGCCTGCCTGCCCCGCTGCCCCACGGTGGGCGAGGGCGGGGAGGGGTCTTGTGGAGAATGCTTCAGCAACTGCGAGTGCCCGCCCGGCCTCTTCTGGGACGGGGGCCCTCTGTGGGCCTGCCTCCCAGTGCCCCTGCTATTACCGACGCCAGCGCTACGCACCTGGCGACACCGTGCGCCAGCTGTGCACACCGTGCTGGGTCCGCAGGTGTTGCTGGCCCTTTCGCTGGGCTTGGAGACCGCCCCATCCACTCGGATCCCTCCCATATGCTATCTCCTCAACCTGCTTCTCCATCTGGGGACCTCTCACAAGTGGCCTGCGCCCTCTCAGGGCATAAGTGGTGGCCCTGCTTAAAGACCTAGCTGGTGATCTCCACCAGCTGACTCTAAGCCTAACGGGAGGAGGAGGTGCCAGGGGCGGGAGACACCTGGTGTTGGGGACCGGAGGTCGTCTCCAGCTCAGCATAACCTTCCCCCCGGCTGATCCAGAGGGCGCTCTCTCACCCCTTGTGCTCTCACAGCTTGTGCTAGGATGGCAGGTGGCTCTGCGTGCGGGCTCCGTGCCCTTCAGAGTGCGCGGTGGGCGGGGACCGGCACGACCACACCTTTGATGGGCGGAGCTTCTCCTCCATCCTGGCGCAGGTGAGGGGTGGGGGTTGGGGGGAACTAGCTGCGGGCGGGGGAGGGGAGTAGGCGAATCTTACTAGAGCAGGCCCCTTCGTAGGGCTGCTGTGAGGGAGAAATGACCATGCAAGGGTGGGGCTGTGGCCTCGTAGGGCCCGCTGAATCATCATGCTTCAGCAACTGCGAGTGCCCGCCCGGCCTCTTCTGGGACGGGGGCCCTCTGTGGGCCTGCCTCCCAGTGCCCCTGCTATTACCGACGCCAGCGCTACGCACCTGGCGACACCGTGCGCCAGCTGTGCACACCGTGCTGGGTCCGCAGGTGTTGCTGGCCCTTTCGCTGGGCTTGGAGACCGCCCCATCCACTCGGATCCCTCCCATATGCTATCTCCTCAACCTGCTTCTCCATCTGGGGACCTCTCACAAGTGGCCTGCGCCCTCTCAGGGCATAAGTGGTGGCCCTGCTTAAAGACCTAGCTGGTGATCTCCACCAGCTGACGTCATCTAAGCCTAACGGGAGGAGGAGGTGCCAGGGGCGGGAGACACCTGGTGTTGGGGACCGGAGGTCGTCTCCAGCTCAGCATAACCTTCCCCCCGGCTGATCCAGAGGGCGCTCTCTCACCCCTTGTGCTCACAGCTTGTGCTAGGATGGCAGGTGGCTCTGCGTGCGGGCTCCGTGCCCTTCAGAGTGCGCGGTGGGCGGGGACCGGAGAGAAATGACCATGCAAGGGTGGGGCTGTGGCCTCGTAGGGCCCGCTGAATCATCTGGTCTGGCCCTGCCAAGGCCTTAGAGGTGAGTTAATGAAATGTTTGAACAAATATAGCAGGCTAATTTAAAAAAAAATTTTAGGAGAGGGAGAGAGAGAGATAGAAACATCAATGATGAGAGAGAATCATTGATCGGCTGTCTCCTGCACGCCTCCTACTGGGGATCCAGTCTGCAACTGGGGCATGTGCCCTTGACCGGAATTGAACTGGGATTCTTTAGTCGCAGGCGGACGCTCTATCAACTGAGCCAAACCGGCTAAGGCAGCAGACTAATTTTAAAACTGATAATTTTGTATGGCTCCAGAATGATGTTGTAAATACCAAATGGCCCTGGGCAGAAAAAAGGTTCCCCACCCCTGCAAGAAACTACTAAGTGAACAAAATACATACAGTTGTCCAGGGAAAAGCTGAGGGAGAACTGATTCTGGAGGGAGAGTGGCTGCAGCAGACACCATGTAGCCTCCCCTTTGGGTTCTCCCCTGTTTAGGTTCCTGTGAAAGTACTGCTGTCATCACCACCATATCCAGGGGCACCAAGCAAAATCCATGCTTGCAGTCCTGTCTCACAAATCGGACAGGGTGGGTTTGCCACAAGCTACTTCGTGCAAAATAGTCCCAGGGCCAATAAGGGACCTTCTTGGTCCCCTGGTAAAACTGAGTGACATCTCCAGTTCAGGCCTAGGCGTGTTCTTTTACACACAAGCACAAACAGGCGTGCACAGATGACATATGCTCCTGCATATGCATACACATAGACACACACAGACATGAACATACATACCCAGGGGGAGTAGAGAAGGGGGCCATCTCATCCCAGCATGCAGACAAATGTAGACACACATATGGGTGTACACACACACATTTACATGTGCCAATGCACATGTGAGTCTGGTTGGCTGGAAAGTGGTCAGCACACATTAGTGGGATCTACATCCACGTGTTTACTGGAGGTGGTCTGTAGGACACCTGTTCTCAGGTGTGCCCCTCCCCCATTCCTCACCATCTGCCCCAGGACTTGGCCAAGGGGTAGCTGTTTGAGCGTGCTGGAGCATGGAGCCTGGGACTCTGGGAGCTGCCTCCACGTCATCTCTCTCTCCCAGGGGAATGCCCACATCCAGCTCAGGGACTCAGGTAGCCTTGGCTCACAGGGCACCTACCTACTAGGCCTTCCCTCCCGACAGCCCTCAGAACTGTGGCTCAGGCCCTAGCAGCCTCCTGTTACTGCTCCTCTCCCTGCAGACTCTGGCTCATTCCAGCACTTTCTGTTCACACTGCCCTGTGGTTTCTGAATCACAAACCTCCCCTCAGATTCCCCAAACCAAACTCATTGCTTCCATTTCCCTTACGCCCCCCATCTCCGAAGCAGACACACAGTCCTTTGGGAAACTTTCAAGGCATCTTCTGCTCCATCCTTGGGGGTGGGGGTTGCAAGTTCTGAGAAGTCGGACACCAGGCCAGATAGGCCCCTCCCAGTTCGGATGCTGAGCCCACAGTCCCTCCATCTCTTTTCCCTGCATTTACTCCTCCTATGTATGAACTGACTTCAAAGGCAAAGTAGGTGCTGAGGGTGGTCCTCAGTGCACATGGGGTGCTCAGAGGGAATGGGTAATTTCCCAGGGCTCCCCTCACTCAGTGTGGGCAGCCCTCCCACCTCCTGCCCAGTCCTTTCCCTTTTCACAGCCCCACCCTGCCACATGTTGTCCCCTTAACCTCATCAGCCCAGCCCAGCCCAGCCCTGTGTGGCAGCCCCCTCACAGGCCCCCTGTTCCAGGAGCTGTCCTGGCCAATGGGCAGGACATGGGACTGCCCTGGAGCAGCCCTGAGGGCCTCAGTGTCTCCTGAGCCTCCTCCACCTTCCTGCTGCTGCGCTGGCCTGGAGCCCAGGTCCTCTGGGAGGTGTCTGACCCTGCAGCCTACATCACCTTGGACCCCCACCATGCCCAGCAGGTGTGCCAGGGGGCAGGTGAGTGGCTGGGGGAGGCCACAGTGGGCCGAGTTTGACCATTTCTGCCTACTCGGGTGACCTAGGTGCAGGGCCTATGCAGCACCTTCACCTGGAACCAGCAGGACGACTTCCTGACACCTGCCGGTGACGGTGACGTGGAGGCCAGCATTGCTGCCTTTGCTAGCAAGTTCCAGCTGGCAGGCAAGGGAAGGTGCCCTCAGAGGACAGCACCCCTCTTTCCCCCTGCAGCACCCACACTGAGCGCCACGTTTTCGCAGAGCCATCCTGCATGGCCCCGTCTTCCAGGTAGCTGGTGGGGCTCTCGTCCTGTTCACACCTGTAAGATGGGGTCAGTACCCGCCCTGCCCTCCTCCTGGGCTATTGGGAAGGCCCTCCTGTGACAGGGCTTCTGAGCGCAGGGAGGTGACAGTGGGGACAAGTGGGAACAGGAATCTGTGGGGGAGAAGCTGATGAGCTTCTTCCTCTTCTTCCCCCAAGGAGTGCCACAGCGGGTGGATGGGAAGCCCTTCCACCTGCACTGCTTGGCAGCCGTGTGTGGCTGTGCCCCTGGCAGGGACTGCCTGTGCCCAGTGCTTGCTGCCTATGCTCGCCGCTGTGCCCAGGAGGATGCCCCATCTCCCAGGAGCAGTGGTTGGCAAACTGCGGCTCGTGAGCCACATGCGGCTCTTTGGTTCCTTGAGTGTGGCTCTTCCACAAAATACCGACTTCTGCGCATGGGCCACGAAGTTTCAATGGCACTGTACGCGCGCTCCAGCACGTGGTATTTTGTGGGAGAGCCACACTTAAGGGGCCACAGTTTGCCGACCACTGCCCTGGAGGAACCAAACCCTCTGCCATGAGTCAGCTCAGCCAGCCCCCAATTTCCAGTCTCCTCCTCCCAGCTGGAAGGGATCCAAGAACTCTGAGGGGAGTTGGGGGTGGGGCCTCAGGAGGACCTCTGACCTTGGCAGATGGCTGGCTTACCTTCTTTCAGAGGCATAGGGGGTGGTGGTGGGGTCCCGAGGGGTGGGCAGAGCAGCAGTGGCTATGCCCCTGATCTTCTTGTGTCTCTGTGCCCCGCTGTCTTGTGTCCTGGGGGCCAGGAGTACAGGAGTGTGCCCTAGTGTGCGGTTAGAAATGTGGGGAGCCAGAGGACTGTGGGAAGCTGGGTGGCTGTGTGGCTGGCTGTAATTGCCCCTTGGGGCTGCTGTGGGACCCTGAGGTCCAGTGTGTGCCCCCCAGCTTGTGCCCCTGCCAGCTTGAAGCCCGTCGTTATGCCCCGGGCAGTGCCACCATGAAGGACTGCAACCGCTGGTGAGGACAGCAACCTTTGTGGGGGGTGAAGGCTTGGGGGTGAGGAGATGGAACTTAGAGAAAAGGCTTGCAGCCAGGTGGGTTTCAGCATGGCATGCACATGGGGATGACATAGCACTGATAACTGTTACTCAGTGGAGCACTTTAATGTACATGATCTTATTCAATTGTCCTTAATTCCTACAATCACCTAGGGAAGTAGGAAGTAGAAGAATTGTTCCCATTTTGCAGGTGAGGAAACAGGCTCAGATAGGTTAAATGGCTTGCAGAGTCACACAGCTTGCTCATGAAGGTCTAGAACCCAGACCTCTGGATTCCAGTTGAGTGTGGTCCAGAGGCTCTTCCAAGGGCTAGGGAGAAGTAAAAGCAAGTTACATAGCTATGGAGGCGGGGCCAGGGGCCCGGGCTTGGTGGGTGAATGTGAGACTTCAGAGAAATTCCCCTCCTACCTGGGCTGGGAGTGGGTAGTTCACTACCTCTGCCCCTCCCCAGAGCCCAGAGAATGGCCCCATCGGAACTGGGGCAGGAAAGGGTGACAGTATCCAGCCCAGGTATGGCTGGGTACTGGGAACAGCCCCAATCCTTGTGCTTGTAACAACTGGGGTGTTGGGGGAGGACACTCAGATCTCTGGAGAAGACGTTAGGGGCTTGGGACTCCTGGGTTCCTGGTCAGACCAGGCCCCTGGAGATGAGGCCAGCCTTGGACTGCCTCTCACCTTCCTTCTGTGTCCGCAGTGTGTGCCAGGACAGGGGCCTCTGGAACTGCAGTGATCATCGCTACACCCCCCAGCGGGCATTCTGTCCCCATGAGCTTGTCTATGCCCCTGGTGCCTGCCTCCTCACCTGTGACAGCCCCAGTGCCAACCACTCCTGCCCCCCAGGCAGCACAGGGGACTGTGTCTGTCCCCCAGGCACCGTGTTGCTGGTAAGTCTGGGGGGAGCTGCATAGGGCACTGCTCTGCCTCGCTGGCTGTCTGAAAGAGTGGGCGGGGCATTGGGTTGTCCTCTAAGGTGGCCCTTGGTCTCTGGCCTCTGCCCAGGACGAGCGCTGTGTGCCTCCTGAGCTCTGTCCCTGCCGCCATGGCGGCAGGTGGTATCCACCCAATGCCACCATCCATGAGGACTGCAACATTTGGTATGCCCAGCCCTGTGACCTGTAACCTTTGACCCTGTGATCCCTGGCTTGGGGCTGGAGCAATGGGTGGGGTGGGAGGACCAGACTGCCTGGACAGTGGGACCCTCCAGGATCCATCCCCAAGCTGAGGGTCTCTCTGGAGTTGCTTGGAATCTGACCAGTTTTCTCCCCTGGATAGAGTTGCCGATCCCTGTCCTCATGACTCTGTTTCCTCCTTCCCCTGCCCACAGCGTGTGTCAGGGCAGGCGGTGGCACTGCATGGGCCAGCAGTGCGGTGGACAGTGCCAGGCATCGGGTGCCCCCCATTATGTGACATTCGAAGGGCTAGCCCTCACCTTCCCTGGGGCCTGAGAATACCTGCTGGTGCGAGAGGCCAGTGGCCAGTTCACAGTCTCGGCCCAGAACGTGCCCTGCGGGGCCAGCGGCCTCACCTGCACCAAGACACTGAGTGCGGCTGCAGAGCACCGTTGTCCACATGCTCAGAGGTGACTGTGACATTGAAGGGTGGCGTTGCCAGGGAGGGGCACGCTGGATGGCCTCACAGCTCTAGGGATGGCAGAGGCCCGGGCTCTCCATGTCTCCCCGGCTTGTATCAGTGCTGTGCAGCTGGCACCCCCTCTCTTGGCTGGGAATCATCATTCTGGAAGGCTCTAAGAAATTAAGCCCAGAGAGGGCTCGTGGCCTGCCCAAGGTCACATAGCTAGAGAAGCAAAAGGAAGGTTGGAGGGGAGGCTGGAAGGACCCCATGGGGATCTGGGAGGCCCCATACTCCAAAGCGGAGCCTGATGGCCCCCTCTTCCTCCACAGGCTGGGCATTGACAGGGAATGGGGTGAGTGTGACACCCCCCAAGGTCCACACAGGCCCTGGGCTGAGCCTTGGCTGGCTGGCCTCTTCCTGCTGCTCACCACCCGCCTGGGCCTCTCCCTGCTCGGGGATGGAGGTCAGGCCCCATCCCTCACCCTCTGACCCTGCCCTGCCTTACCTAGGGGTCTAACTCCCCTAGACTCCTCCCCCCTACAGGTGGTCAGAGTTTTCAGTGGTCAGAGTTGTGCTCCTGTTACTTATGAAATCAGCACCTCCTTACCCAAGAAACGTTTAGAAAATACCGAATTTCCTAACAACCCACCACCCAAACAAAGTGGTTGGTGTTTTAGAAATGACTGTTTCTGAGAAACAGGAAACCAAAATAACCCCGCATGTGGGAAGAAGTCTGGTGGTCAGCACAGCGGGGCTGACATCTGAGCCTCCAGCCACGGAGTCCCCTGGGGCTGGGGGTGTCACAGTCGGACCTGGAGCCTGGCTGGAATCTGCCCATTTGGAGAATTTTCCTGTCCCCCAACCTGGGTGTAGTTAGGGGAGTAGGCTCCCCCCTCCAAAAAAAAAAAAAAGAGTGAAGCAGCGCCTCCTATTGGGTGGCGGTACTCATGCAGGCGGTCAGGAGGCCCCAACAATAGGGTCCTTGGTCTTATCCCTGCTCTGGGACCTCACGAAGGCCAGTGGGTCATTTCTTTGCACAGTCGGCCCCCTGCTGCCTTTCTTCAGGCACCCGGGTCCTGGTGCAGCTGTCCCCGCAGTTCCGTGGCCGTGTGGCTGGGCTGTGTGGAGACGTTTTAAAATATATATATATATTATTGATTTTTTACAGAGAGGAAAGGAGAAGGAGAGAGAGTTAGGAACATCGATGAGAGAGAAACATGGATCAGCTCCTCCTGAACACTCCCTACTGGGGATGTGCCCGCAACCAAGGTACGTGCCCTTGACCGGAATCGAACCCGGGACCCTTCAGTCCACAGGCAGAGGCTCTGTCCACTGAGCCAAACCGGTCAGGGCTGTGCGGAGACTTTGATGGCGATGCCAGTAAAGACCTGCGGAGCCGCCAGGGAGCCCTGGAGCCCACTGCTGAGCTGGCCGCCCACTCCTGGCGCCTCAGTCCTCTGTGCCCTGAGCCAGGGGACCTGCCACACCCCTGCACGGTGAGCATGGGCGGGAGACGGGCAAGGGAGTGGGTGCAGCTGCAGAAACCTGGGGGAATGGAGACTGGGGATCTGGTCCACAGCTCTGTACCTGCAGGTGCCCACCGGGCCGCCTGGGCTCGCTCCCGCTGCGGGGTGCTGCTGCAGCCACTCTTTGCCCCGGGCCACGCGGAGATACCCCCACAGCAGCACTATGAGTGGTGCTTGTACGATGCCTGCGGGTGAGAGCGGCAGGCCCGGGGACCGGGTGGGAGGGGTGTGTGGCCGTGGAGAGCGGCTGCTGAGGCTGACCGACCCCTCCCACAGGTGTGATTCAGGAGGCGACTGTGAGTGTCTGTGCTCGGCCATTGCCACCTACTCAGACAAATGCTCCCGACATGGGCTCCACGTCCGCTGGCACAGCCAGGAGCTCTGCCGCGAGTGGGCCCTGCCCTCAGTCCCTGGTGCCCCGTCCCACTGCACCCAGCCGAACATGCTGTTTGCTGCTCGGTAGAACCCGTGTGTTGTAAACAGCCTTGGGAGGGTCTCAGCGGGAGTCTACACCATGGCCCCATGCCCTTCAGGGCCGTCACCCTGGGCCGGCTCGCCTGCTGCTTTTGCATCCTGATGCCCTTGCACCTTGCTGACCAAGCCTCGCTCCTCTCCACCCAGCTCTGCAATGTGACGGAGGCCAGGAGTATGAGGTCTGTGGCCCCACGTGTCCCCCCACCTGCCATGACCATGGTCCTGAACCTGGTGGCATTGCCAGGCTGTCACCTGTGTGGAGGGAGGGCTGCTTCTGCCCTGAGGGGACTCTGCTGCATGGTGGGTAGGGTCAGAATGGGAGAGGGGAGGGGCACTGGGACAGGGAAGGGGCCACAAGGCCATAGGTGACAGGGCTGGCATGAGGGCTGCTGTGCTCCAAGCCCTGCCCTCTGTGACCTGAGGAGGCATCTGCGTGGAGTTGGCTTTCTGTCCCTGGGGGAGGGGGGGCATATTCTTCCCACCAGGAACGGTGCTGCAGAAGGCCTGTGGGAACTGGTGAGTGGGGGGCTTGGGGGAGCCCCGTAACCCCTGGGCTGTCCCAGAGCTGTGTCTGATCCCAGGACATCATGTGCTCAGCATGTGCCAGGGAAGTTGGTGGCTTTGTGGGGGTGGCAGTACCCGCTGCGAGGAGCCTGTGCCTGGCTGTGCAGAGGGAGAGGCCCTGTGCACTGTGGGCACTGTGTACCCCACGAGTGGCTTTGTGACAACCAGGATGACTGTGGCGATGGCTCAGATGAGGAAGGTAAGTGTCTTCGCCTGTGTGTGGCAGTGGCTGAATGACAGGTTGATCCTCGTATGTATCCTAGGACAACTTCCCAAGCTGCTGCTCCCATTACCAGCAGCGGTGACTTGTAGGCAGATGTGTTCTGGTCTTTCTGGGGTGGGAACTTCTCTGGGACCCTATGTTGGCATCCTGAGCCTGCTTACCTGCCTCACACCAGGCTATGCCACTGCAGGCTGCAGGGAGGGGCAGATATCTTGCAGCTTAGCCACTGCCTGCCCCTGACCCTGCTCTGTGATGGACAGGATGACTGTGGAGACGGGACAGATGAGCAGGGCTGCCCATGCCCCCAGGACTCTCTGGCCTGTGCTGACGGGCGCTGCCTGCCCCGAGCCCTGCTCTGTGATGGTCACCCTGACTGTCCAGATGCTGCTGCTGAGGAGTCCTGTCTGGGTGGGTGGTCCTGGCCCAGTCTCCAGCCTACCAGGCACCCTTCCCACAAACTGCCTGCCTCCCCTCCTTCCTCAATCCAGGGTCCCATTGGGAAGTTGGCACCTGTGGGTGTGTGAGTGGACGCACACAGTGACAACAGGGGCAGTGCCCTGGGGCCGGCTCCTCCTTTCCCTGGCTGCAGGGCAGGTGAACTGCACCCCTGGGGAGGTGTCCTGCATCGATGGCAGCCACGTGGGGGCCGTCCAGCTGTGTGACAGACTCTGGGACTGCCCAGATGGAGCAGATGAGGGGCCTGGGCACTGCCTCCTCCCCTCTCTGCCCACGCCCCCTGCGGGCACCTTTCCCAGTCCCTCCGCGGGCTCCTGGAAGACGGCACCAGCTCTCCTGGCCAGCACCCCCTGGTGAGTCTCCTCGAGGAGAAGGCTGGAGTGTGGAGGCCTGGGGGTGAGGGGACAGGAGGCATCTCAGAGGGAGGATTGGGGGCACGTGCTGGACTGGAAGGAACAGAGCACCGACTCAGCCTCCTGAAGACACCAGAATGAAAGAAGTGAAGGTGTTTGAGGGGCTGAAAGAGTCCAAACCTTATTTCCTGACGTTCAAGGCCCCTCTGGGCTGAGGGGAAGGTAATGGAAATTCCTGGAGGAGGGGGACAGCTTTTGGAAAACCAATAGGGCAGCAAAATGGGGAAGCGAATGGACTCGGGGAGGTTTCGGAGGTGGGGCGAGGGCCGGGCTCAGGTCAGGGACCGGGCGGGCCTGTAGCTGGAGCGGGGCGGGTGGTGGAGAAGGAAGGGCCAGGCCGGCTGGGGAGCGGGGTCTCTCAG